GCTATCAAATAGGCCACATCTCCTCCCTGTTTGTTCTCCATTGGCAAACAGATGGATGTCTTGGAGTAAGTGCTGATCCCCAACAATGGCAACGATGCCATCAGCAGTGCGTAACACCAGCCGCCGAACATCACCTTCACAGCTAATCCCAGTTTAAGACGTTTGTTCAGTTGTATGGCGAATGTGATGGCAAACCATCGCTCCAGTGTTATAACGGTTAGCGTAAAAATGGACAGTTCACTCGCGAACACCGTTATGAAACCCGCGATCTTACACCCGATCCCTGTGTTATCAATCATATAAGACATACCATTTTAATCAATGGATTTATGGCAGTAATCCACGGATCAATGGATTTATTATATTCATTAAGGATTAATTAATTGTTTGAGTGTTTTGTAGGTTAATCTGTGTTGAGAAATAACCTAGATTAAAGCTAAATACTCAATTTATAGTCTTGGAGTACAGAATATTGAAATTAATTTACTGTTGAAATAAACTAAATATTCTTAATAATTCAATTTTTGCATGATTATTTAAAAATATTTTAACCAAAATAAGTTTATTATTAATTACAATTGCAATAAACAATGAGATTTACAAAATTCCTAATGCCATATTAAATACATGCAATATTAATGGTACAAATAATATAATTTTAAGTGAAATAGTACAGATCCGTAAAAATAGCTTAATACTGTACAGCTAACCATAGTACAATTTTATTAATTAACAATATTGGTAAGCTAGTATTTCAAAAAGCTATATCAAATTAACTATTAAAAAGCTTTTTGATTACATAAATAATCCAACAACTAGTATATACAGTATGTACTAATCACAGTGTAATTTAATTTACCAGTAAATATAAACTTACACAATTAAGACCTACCTGTGCTATTAGGACAGCACAACATACTATTCTTACAATTAGTCAGTAAATCTATCTCTCAAGTAGCCATAAAAACAAACAACTATTTATTGTATGTGTTTATAGCAAACTATAGACTGTTTTTTGTTATTTAATTTTCTTTATAAAAGTAATGACAAGCAAAATGTTGAAATGTTTTGCTTTTATACATTACAATGTACAGAATAAAATATAAGATTATATACAATGTATAATAATATATTATATTGATGTATTTATAAATCAATTGCACAAATATTTTATAATTTATTATATGCCTATTTTAAGAATTCCCAGAATATTCTATTATTTGTTGTAATATTCTGTGTGTGTTTTAATAAAATGTGATTTCTGCTATTTAGTTCTGTATAATATAATAAGACAGGTGACAAACATGTGTAGCTAGGTGATGTAGGTTTATATAATAATTGGCAATACATACCATGTTGCCAATCAATGGCATAATTGAAATACTGGCCAACAGTATGCACATCAACTACTGCTATAATGAGCAGATAAATGCCTGCAAAACGAAATAAGTAACAGAATATTCTGTCAGATTATTCTCATTAAATGTCTACACATGTTGTGCAGCGTTTTGTCTACTAACCCATCATGAGGTCGGCAATCGCCAGATTTATCATAAGAAATTTGCTCACATTAAAACCAAAACGACCACTATATTAGGCGAGAGGGGGTGTTGTGGGGGTGTAGGGGTAGGTGTGTAGGAATGGGCGAATGAAAATAAGATTTGGTCGATTAAGTTTTATGTTAAAATACATTATCATTTATTGCTATAAAATTTGAATATATTCAACATTTATAAACATAAATATGTGTAGGGGTAGGTGTGTAGGAATGGGCGAATGAAAATAAGATTTGGTCGATTAAGTTTTATGTTAAAATACATTATCATTTATTGCTATAAAATTTGAATATATTCAACATTTATAAACATAAATACATAAAATATATACTTATTTAAGACTCTTGAGTAACTTTATTATACATGCTTTATATTGAACGAGTCAAGCATATAGTGTTTGGGGACTAAATTAATGTCAGAGAGTATATCGTAAAAATTTCCGGTTTTATGAGCCAATAGTCTATATACTAGAGAACGGTGTGATAATCACATGCAAACCGAAAGCTTAAGGGTTTGCACCGTAAGCTTCAAGTTTAACCAAATACTGAAATGCATCTCTCCCTTCATCCCTCTCTCTCTCTCTCACTCTCTCACTCACTCACTCTCTCTCTCTCTCACTCACTCACTAATCTATTTCACAGAATCAATAAATTACACAAGAATTTGCTTATAAATGAAGACAGACATGAATATAGCAGACATAAAGTTATATAATAATAAGAGCAAAGAGTAAACACACATACAGTGAAGACAATACAGAATATTCTGCATATACGGTATATTTAATGAGATCAAAGCCCGTGTATGTGTCTATGTATGTAATCGACAGAATAAATAAACCCCAAACCACTCACACTATTACTCGCGTATAAATAATTAATTTTTTTAAAAGATTCTTTTCGATCTAAAGGGATATAATTCAAAGCCAGAATATTCTATGTATTATATATACTGTATATTGTTTAACATGTATGTTATTTAGTGTTCGTAAACAATATAAAAAAAATGTAATCACGAACTAAAAGGTTCTGTGATTACATTTGCACCAATAATACAACACACATACCGTATGTAGTGCTCAAATAGTGTATTACTATTCGGCTTTTTGTGCTACAATTTATCACACATTGAAATCATTTTTTAAAACCTTTCAAATGGGGGGCCTACAGTGTCTCTGGGGGTCAGGGCTTTCGGTAAAATCAAATTCACTTCATTTCATTGATTCTCTCTCTCTCTCTCTCACTCACTCACTCTCTCTCTCTCTCACTCACTCACTAATCTATTTCTCTCTCTCTCTATCTCTCTCTCTCTCTCTCTCTCTCTCTCTCTCTTTCAAATCCAGTACTCGAGAAATGTCTAGAAAATCAATTGTAATGTTTTCGATGCAATTCATAGATTTATCCCTCTATTTGTTGCCACAAAAGAAACTTAAACTTAAAAAATTACAAAAAACTTTTTATTTCTCTTATTTCTCTTTCTTCCCTGAATTTTGTTGCTGTTATTGTTTAGCGACAGAAGTAATGGTTAGTCGAGACGTACAGTGAGTTTGAAATCAATTCAATACACAATTGAAAGGAAACAAACAAATTGATTACAAGCATCTGCTGTGTGTTTGGGGGCAGGGCTGGGAGGGGAGGGTAACAGCACTTTTACAACAAATATTTAATTATGTTATAAAATGGACAGAAAATATCGCACAAAGCAAAAAAGTAATTAAATTCATCGCCAAACAGATATAATAATCACACGTCGCAAACAATTAACATAACTTTATGTAATAAAAGTATAACTATCGGCAGTAAAAGTGCTATACAGTATAGTATGGCCTAAAACATGCTGACCGGTGACCAAGAGGGGGACGGGGGAGGAATGGGTGCCATACCTCATGAGGACAATCATAACGGCACAGTTGCCGAGAACGGCAGCGATGACCACAACCCACACTAACATCCGTAAGAATCCGTTTCCCATCACATCTTCGCACGGATTAAAGGCATCGGGAATTGGATAACACTTTACGCTCGGATAATTCGGACGTCTCGATATGTTTCCGCACAAAATCTATGGTAAACATCGGTAGATATAATCCATGGATTAGTTTTATTTATAGATTTATATACCATATATCTATTCCCAATAAATAGAGCGCAAGAATATTCTGTTTTGAAATTGTTATATGAGTTAATCTACAGGAATGTGGGATAAACATCTGAACGAATTGGAAGTAAGATTTAGTATATTTAATTAAATTAGATTCTATCGATATTTATACCAAATTAAAGCTTAAATATTGAAGAATAAAATTATAGAAAAAATTATTTAAATATCTTTAAAAATGACCACAAGATTAAGGTTAGAAGAGTAGTACACAAATTATACTTTTTTAACGACTTCGAAATTTTATTCGGTGAAAATTTTCGGTTTAAATAACAATGCCATTTATGTAATGGCTTAAATTATGTCAATAATAAGTTATTCGACTTAAAATTTCAATAAACCGATTAAATATGTGTAATAAACACGAAATTGATTAAATAATAAATTTTCTTAAAACTGTAAAAATTCTGGTGAAACGCGCATAAAATGGATTTTCAAATACGACATTGCATATTAATT